TATATATATATATATATAAATTTATCTATCTATCTATCTATCTATCTATAGCTAGGTAGGTAGGTAGCTAGCTAGCTAGTTAGCTAGGTAGGTAGCTAGCTAGATATAAATATATATACCTGTAGATTTAGAATAGATGCAGCATGTTGAGCTGTGAGCATAAATCCATTTCGACTTAAATATTCCAAAATATTACAATTCACATGAAGACGAAAATGCGACGCACCAAGGCCGGCCTGCAGGGGAGGGAGGGAAGGAGGGAGGAGGAGAGGAAAAAAGAAAAGGAGGAATAAGGCAGACACACACAGACAGGGATTAAAGGAAATAGAAAGGAAAGGGAAAGGAACGGGAAAAGGAAAGGAAAACAGGAAAAAAATCAGACAGAAAGGACATATATTGACATATATATAGGGGTGGGTACTAATTAGGGTTTAGGGTTTAGGGTTTAGGGTTTAGGGTTTACACGCATCTGTTCTTCTTGTAGGTCTGGTTCCTCCATTAATATTTTTAATCGTCTGCTGCATCTCTCTAATTCTTCTGTTGCTCTTGCTGCTGCCACCTCTGCCTGGTCACAAAACCCTAAACCCTAAACCCTAAACCCTAGCTCCCTGATGAGCACGCAAAATGGGCACCGTAGGGAGCAGCAAAAGGTACGGCAGTGCAACAGCAGCAGCAGCAGCAGCAGCAGCAAATATCAACAGCAACAGCACCCTCTCCATCACCCTCTCCATATCCATCAACAGCAGCCAATAGCAGCAACAGCAACAGCAGCAGCAGCAGCAGCAGCCAACAGCAGCAACAGCAGCAGCAGCAGCTGCAGCAGCATAATTAAGGATTATATATATTTACCCTTTTTTTAATATTATTAATTTTATCAAGAACAAGATCAATTTTATCAATTTGCTGCTGGGGTGTATGTGCAGCAGCAAGTTGCTGCTGCAGTTTTTTTTTTATATATGCTAATATAATAGATATATCTCTTGCTAGTCCCTTCTGGCTGCTGCGTATAATTGCTGCTGCATGCACTAGAGGGACAGCAATAGTAGATAGATGTATACCCCCACAAATAGGTAAAGGGACGCATGCAGCAGCAGCAGCAGCTGCTGCTGCAGCAGAACCAGACGCATCTTCTGATCTACTCATATCCATATCATCCTTACCACTACCGCTGCTGCTGCTGCTGCTGCTGCTGCTGCGACGCTTGCTACTGCTGCGACGCTTGCTGCTGCTGCGACGCTTGCTGCTGCGGTGCTTACGGTGCACACGGGATCCTCCTCCTCCTGCTGCTGCTGACGATGCACCTGAACCCATACCTATGGAGTAACCAGAATATGGCATGCTGCTGCTGCTGCTGCTGCTGCTGCTGCTGCTGCTTCTGTCTTGGAGACGTCGAGAGCTTAACAGAGACCTGCGGGGATTGCTGCTACTGCTGCTGCTGCTACTGCTGCTGCTACTGCTGCTGGTTCTGCTACTGCGGCTAGGAGCAACAGTTGGTCTGCTGCTGTCGGTTTCTGCAACGAAGCTGCTACTGCTGCTGCTGCTGCCTGGAGGTGGCTCATTTGCTGCTGCTGCTGCTGCTGCTGCTGCTGCCCGTCCGCTGGTGCTACGTGGTCCTTCTATTGCTCCATGCGGCAGCATCAAGGGCTCAGGATTGCTGCTGCTGCTGCTGCTGCTGCTGATGCTGCTGCTGAGGGGATATGGTCGGGCTGCTCCTTCTCTCCGGCTACTCTCAGGGGACTCTTGGGGCCCCGCCTGCGGGCCCCACACGCATGCAGCAGCAAACCCTAATAAAAGCCACAATCTGCAGCAGCAGCAGCACCCTCTCCAAAGAGGTCTCTGGGGGCCCCAAGGGGGCCCCCAGTAGGGGCCCCTTGTAGAGGGTACAGGGGAGAGTTCCTTACAGTCTGTATTTCCGGTGTAGCAGCAGTACGAATTGCCTGTGGCTCGGATGTTGTTGGCAAGGATTGAGATCGGCCCTCCTCCGCCATTTCTGCTAGCTGCATGCAGCAAAAAAAAAAAAAAAAAAGGGTTTAGGGTTTAGGGTTTAGGGTTTCTAGGGTTTAGGGGTTTTTATGGGTTTGAAGGAGATATGGTAACAATTAGGGTCTCGATTAAATAATAACACCGCAGAAGTAAACACGAATCCTCTATCCCTCACCAAACCCTAAACCCTAAACCCTAAACCCTAGATGTTAAACCCTACAAGTTGTATGAATAGAAAGCTTTGGTGTCTTGGAGATAATCAGCAGCAGCAAACCCTTGTCTTCATGGGGTAGGCAGAGAGAGCAGCAAGAAGGCAGATAAACACTAGTAGTTGCTGCTCCTCCCGCTGCGCCTGCTGCTCCTGCTGCTGCTAATGCTGCTGCTGCCACACGCTACTACTGCTACGTGTGGTGTACGTACAGCTCAGCCTTGATAAAAAGGCGAATTAATTTAATTAATAATATTAAAAGTAAAAAGAAGAAAATAAATTAAATAGATGAGACAAATAAAGGAAAACTTTTCTCTTCTGCTGCAGCAGCAAGAGGGGCCCCATGCACAGCAGCAGCAGGAGCTGCTTCGGGTGTATATGCAACAGCTGCTGCTGCTGCATCTACTAATAAAAAGAATTCTCCTTTTATTAACTTTTATATTTATATTTACTTATTTTACTCTTTTTAATTTAGTATATTCAGCAGCAAACAGCAGCAGCAGCAGCAGCAGCCGTGGCAGCAGCAGCAGCCGTGCTGCGGTCACACCATTGGCCCACCACCACCGTTACCAGCAGCAGAAGCAGCAGCAGCAGCAACAGCAACAGCAGCAGCAGCAGCAGCAGCAGCAGCAGCAATACTACAAATAAGAATTAAACAAAGGAGGTTTTTTTTCTTCAAAAGATAAACCCCCACAAACCCTATATAGTTATACATACACCCCAATTAGCGTATACACCCCAATCAGCGTATACACCCCAATAATATATATATTATTTATTATTATTATTTATATTATACCCTTATTATTTAATTA